GTCATTGACCAGCGTACTCAGTGGGTACTTATATGGACCGAAGTACCGGTCGTCCCTACATAAACCTTGTCATCCCTTCAAGTCGGTACAGATACGCCCAGCCAAGGTCTGCCATCAGTGCACCGGTCAATTTGATATCTCATCTGATAACTCAACCCCCGATAATATTACTAATTAAAAGGATTTTTAAGTGGTGTCCCTGGTATTTAGACATCAAGAATATTTTACGTATATTTTACTTTCATGCAAATGAAACCATTCTGATCTTCAGTTATATTTGACTACTCGTTGCTGATAAGTGATATTATAAGAAGCTTGTTCAGCTAGTTTGAACTCCTTTGAAAAATAAGCATCTTCTCTCAAAGTGTGCCAATCCTTTTTAGGTATAAGGTGAATTGAAATCAATAGCCACTAAACCAAACGGTTCCGTAATTTTGGGGGAAATACAAGCCAGTTAGTTCGGCAGTCAACCGGTCTTCTGCCACATTCATTTACACAGCCCGGCAAAATAAACCGACAACCGCACTTTATCGCGTTGAAGACCCCTAGGCCAATATTGAAAAGTGCCAGCTCCGTCGGCGGAGAGTTGCCGTATCATACTTCCTGGTTGAAATGGCAATCGTTAAAATGCTCCCCGGCAAACTCGTAAAATCAAGTTTGTAAACAACCATGATGAAAATAGCCACTGTTTCATAAATCACATCTACATGTATGAGAGAGACCTTATTGGAAGTCTGAGTTTGCCGATTTCAAAGCAGACAAGAGCTTTTGCGCATTCGCGTAAAATTGTCCTTGCTAATTTGAGTTTGGGCGTCAACGTTCATACGAGTCATGATTAAGTAAGTTTAGTTATGAAGGAAAATTGTATGCTTTAATAACGTATAATTATGTCAAGAGACGTCACTGAAGAAAATATGTAGGATATTTTTTCTTGAAAGGGTCTCGAGACCTTAAGAAAGAGACAAAGTTTATTACAAAAAAATAACAATCAAACACAGGAAACCTACAAGTGGTTTAGAGCATTACATGCAAAGCCGTTAAAATAGATCCCAAAAGAGAGCTTTTTTTTCTAAGATAGTAATTGAAGATTGGTTGATATTAACTTGGAAATTTACGCGGGAAAAGGGACCTTTGGGAAGTTTAAGAAATTACGACAAAATGGAGAATATTTATTAAAGAAAATTACTTTGCTCAAAAAACATTGCTTGCAAAGTACTAACTTTTCCCCATGAACACCGACCTCGAATACAGAGAAACTGTTTTCTATTATATCTCCCAGTGGCATATGTTGGAGTTCACAACGTTAACGTTTTCAATTCATCTGATATATTGGACAGTCGGGTGGTAATTGGTTCAATATTACCGATGTGCGAAACGTCAGCGCGTTCACTTTTAACGCTTGCCCTTTCAGTCATCGTGCGGCTAAATCATTCACTTGCTCAGGCGATCGAAACAAATGAATCATCTTAAATACTTGTCTAAAACGAAATGTCGTAGGTCGTCCTTTATCCTTCAATGCAAGCGAGACTTATGTAATACAATTCAAATAACATTAGTGTAATCTAGTTGGCTCGGGCTGCGATACACCATTTCCAGGTAACTAGGCTTATGTATGCACGGAATATAAACGCTGTAAAACGCACAACACTCAGTGCACAACATGCCATCGTTCCTTTTTTTAATGAGTAGGGCGTGAGCTGAAGCAGGGAATACTTAGGAATATCCATTTGGAAGAACGGTTCTTTAAAGATGCATGCAATGGATTGTATTGTCGTGGTTGGCCCTGCTATGGGGGGGGGGGGGGAATTCCGTCCACCAGTTAAGGAGGACGGGAGGGTCACCGAACACGGCAATCATTGGACGGGACACCTCTCCTTGATTTGCTCTATTTCATCCAGCATGAGGGAAAGCTTACAATCACAAGAAGTAAACAAAAACCAAACCAAAAAATCGGACACAGAAACAGAAAAATACTCTGTTGAGTTCTCTGCAGCATGAACATATCATACTTGAAAGTCTATAATATATAGCAGAAAGCAATACTTTCAGTACAAAAATGTATAATAAACATAATTATGAATTAACTTCTTACCCTGACGTCTTAGGTTTGCCCCATTTAAGCAAATAGGCCTTGCTTCTGAGCTGAAGGAGTCAAGCGTGCGAACTGTGTCTGAAAACGTGCAAGACTTTACAAGTGCAATGTGTTAGCCACTTTCGGCCGACGGGGGCGTCGTCGAGAAAACGTTTTGCAACCCAGCAGGTGTGGGTAATACAAATAAAGCTCAAGGGAAATCCCCGGATCCCCACATTACACATAAAAAGACATCTTATTTGATTGATAATGAGACATCACTTTTGGTTGACAATATTTAAAAGGTGTGTATTTCAACTATTTACAGTCAGCGTGGCCACTCAGAGAATTCCGAAGATTTCCCACTCCGGATGATGGTAAAATTAATCTTTTTCGATCAGAAAAGCAGCAAAAGGGCCCAATTCTGATGGGGCTGCTACCAGTGAGGCGTACAGTGTAACAACCAATCAGAGTTGTATTCGAGTCACCAAACATTGAGTGGGAGTCCTAGTCCGAGTCATTTTGTCACGACTCGAGTTCGAGTCAGAGTCAGGGAAAATGGGACTTGAGTCGCACTTGCTTTACAGTGTTCGTGCTAATTCCTGACAACTGAGGGCGCTGATATATGTGATGTCAAGTTATAGCAAACGTACCACACTTTCGGGGACTTTAAGTGGAAATATTAACCAACAATTTTATATCGTAAAACAAGTTAACCAACTAGATGTCAGGCACCATCTCAACAAAAGAAAACATCCCAAACAGATAATTTACCGAGGCAGACAACCAAAAGGTGTGATAATGTTGAAACAGGGGAAGCTGGCTGTTGCCTAATGTGACATAGGCCTAATGGTGTTGCTTATGAATACGAACATTTGCACTGGCGTGATTGTCCTTCTAGTTAGGGTCCAAAGTGTGACTTTTGTATCGTCAATATTACCTTGGTAATTTGCCATTCAAGTATCATTAGCATGTACTAAATGATTGTTTAATTTGTTGAATGGTAGTTTGCAATGCATGTATAAATAATCACTCTTAGAAGACGACTGCATTAATGAGTGCATCAGAATTATAAAATCCCAGGTGTCAGGTGTAACAGAAACAGGCAGGAAAAAGTGGACCCCAAATTAAAGCAAACACCAATAAAAAAACCCTGAAATATCTTGAGAATTAAAACATCGAGTGAGGTTAAATTGGAGAAATAGCTGCTTCAAGAACTTCCTTATTATTTTAACAAGTCCTTTAAGCAATTTTATACAAAATGTGTACTTTTATTACATTTCCATGTCACACATTCCTGCCAATTGCTGTCATTATACCTCTTCGCAAACACAGTTTCTAATTGAGTTCATTTACCTACATATAAATATTGACTGCTTCGAGTAGTGTAGTAAAACTAGCCTCCCGAGGTGATCAATGAAGCGTTCTTGTTTTTTCCCTGAGGCGAAGCTGTTGGAATTGGAACGCTCCGTAGATCACATTTAAAGGGAATGTACATCATTGGCTTTTGCTGTAATTTTCAGAAATGAACTATTTGAGGGGTTAGTATAATAGATCAAATGTTGTTACACTGACATGTTTGAAGTTGTGTGTTCGAAAATGCTGGAAAACCAAGAAAAACAAAAACTTTCAAGTAGTCTGGTTCCCTGACTGCACTAAAGATGAAATGGACCAATTTATAAATACCGGAAAATTGTATGGTAAGGGAACCAGTCTAGCTGTCCTGCACCCGTTCATGAACATGTAACCAATAGCAAACACAATTTGGACTGAAACAGATGGTAAATTTTGAGCAGTAGTTCAAAAATAGTTAGGTTTTTCCAACGGTGGTCGGCCGACCACCGTAGGAAATGTATACAAAAACACAATTTTCTTGAAAATGACTTTACACAAGGTGCCATAATTTTACAGTATGCTTTAGACTGCCATTTACCAACATCCTAGTAAGGTATTTCGTAAAAACTTGGTAGTTTTATTTTTCGATGTTTGCAAATTTTGTATATTCCCTTTAATGGTAGCCCAACTGGCCAGATGCACCAGATATACACAGTTAGTACCCGTAGGAGAAAGGTCACTCTGGCAGGGCCCGAATCAATACATTCTAAATCTGGCTTTTTGGAGTCATCTATTACCGGAACCACAAAACGCGTAAAAAAAAACACCAAACTTAAAGCACTTACAAATCATATTTCAAGCTTATAGTTTTAGTATTCAAGTATCTGGTCCTGCATATTAACACTCTTTATGGACCGTTTCTTCAATTGAACTGTGCACACTGACCATTAGATCACGATTTTTTGCCAGGTGACCACCGTAGCTCGGTCGAACTCGGTCGCAATGTGCACTGTGAGAAATGTTCACAAATGCATGACGAGCGAAGCTTATTGCCCATTCCGGAACGGTCCGTTATTTAGCTCTTTGGCATAAAGTGGACACAATAACTGCATGGGCGCTGTGTGGAGTGAGTTAACCCCAATTTACTGACTGCAAAGACCATCTTGCAAGGGGGAAAAGCCGAACAAGAGGCGACAAGATAATACCAGAGAGTGGACAGGCCTGGAGTTTGAACCGAGGAAGACAAGTGAGAGGGTTGCACCTCGCCAGTGGTGCCCCAAGGACCCCGATGTTCCCCAATACCGATGTTCCTCTAAATCCTTAGGGTTAGGGTTAGGATAAGGGTTAGAGTCAGGGTTAGGGTTGGGGAACATCGGTTTTGGGGAGCATAGGTATTGGGGAACATCGGTTTTGGGGAACATAGGTATTGGGGAACATAGGTGTACACCCCCTACAGTGGTCATGGGAATATAATTGATAGATATACACACTCCAAATAACGCCATCTTCTTGTGTCCTCTCAAAAAGGCTAATTGTCATAATCCGAATTGTCGTTGTTTTAACCCTAATTAACACCACTTCTTCGTCCCGCCAGATGACGCCCTCCTCAACACGAGGCACCCTTCGTCTGCCCCTTCCTCAGGCCCGGCAGGCCACCGTGCTATCCCTGGTCCTACTCGCCTGCTTCGTCTACGTCAATGCCAACTGGTTCTGCTCAGATGTCTACAGTACCATGAATTCCCTCTGTGACGGCTGCTATGCCGGGTACGACAAGAGAACCAACACTATTTCTAGAACGACGGGTGGGTATTATACAGTGTACAATGATTGACAAAAATCTCATTAAAACCCCTTACGCAGCAACGAGAAGTGTAGTAATGATGAATGGTTGAAGTAAGTCCTTTTTCACGAGTGGATTGCATATGCAGTATTGCAGTGCCGGTACTCGTAGTCATTCTTGTACTTGTGTACGTGTATACTTGGTTCCTTGTGGGCAGAAAATACAATGGAACAATAATTATACCCCACAAGGACGTCTTTAGAAACTTATCTGGCCCATAAGGGAAAGTTACAGAGTTTGAGAGTTCAATAGGAACAAAAGGAGACCAGAAGAAGGGAAACAAAGGTCTTCCCCACAGGTATTATGTATGTATCAGGCTGTGTGCTCGGACGAAGATAAAATTAGCCCAATGCAAAATTAACTGCACTGATGAACGTCAATTTAGTATACGAGCAAAACATTTGCGACAAATATACCAAAGCACACCAGGGATTCCCTGAAATGGGGAAAAAATATTTTTTTCTCCGAAGGTAACGCTATCAAAACATATCTCTTTGTGACTGCACTTTCTACATTTGATTGATTCAATAAATCATACAGTAGAAGGCAATACAACTGTCGCAGTCGACATATGGGCCCCTATGCCTCGCGAGGTGTTAGAAAAACTCGTACGATATATGCAAATAGCTTAAATGAATGACTTTTACACTTCACAGCGTCATAACACTAAATAAAATAGTAAGACAAAGTGATCTCCCTTGCATAGACAATATTTATCGTCAAATCGTGGTTGATAAAAGGTTTGCTTAAAACTCTTTTTACTTCTGCGTTCTCTACAATTCAAGATTCTACGACAAAAGGTAGTAAATAAAATGAACAGGGAGTGTTACATTCCAGTTAACTAATGGTAATCTAAGCAAGACTTGTGGCGCCTCTCCAAATCATAAGTGGTGTTGATAATTAGGGGCGTAAATCCCGGAAAACGAGGATAGTATGTAATGATTAAGGTATGACAAAGGACCGCGAAAACGGTGACTATGTGGGTCGTGCAGATGAAATTCGTATCGCCAAGGCAAACGATTCTGCCCTTGTATCTCAAACTTGTTCAAACATTTTTACAAAACCTGTCGTCCAAACAATTTTGTTATCTTAAAAAAGGCTGATGTGTAGACGGCGATCGCTGCTCGCACTGATTAGGCCCACTGGGATCGCAATACGGTGTCCGCCCGATAGTCCGAAGGTTCGATAGTCTAAAGGTGCTTAATAGTCCGAAGGTCCGAGAGTCCGAATGCACAAAAAAGGGGTTCGTCACTCGTCAGTCCGAAAATGAAATAAGGTTCGTTAATCCGAATATTCGAAGCAATAGTCCGAAGGTTCATTGGTTCGAAGGTTCATTTGTCCGAAGATTCGGCAGTCCGAATTTAGAATCAGGTTAATTAGTTCGAAGGTTCAATAGTCCGAAACGAAAAGAAGGTTCACTATTGTCCGAAGGTTCATTATTCCATAGAGCAAGGATTATTCCGAATTGAAAATAAGGTCCGATAGTCCGAATCGACAATAAGGTCCGATAGTCCCAATCGACAACCGTGTAACCGCGATACTGAGCGGCCATTTTAGTTCACCCAGCCCCTAATATGGCACAATCAAGCTGTTTACTCACAAGGTAGCTGAATTAGTTTCTTTGTAATCCTAGAATTCACGTTGAACAGGGGTACAAATGATTTTAGTAGCTTTGAGTTTTAGAATTTGCAGATATACATGAAAGCTGTGTTCGTGCACCAGCCAAAACTTCTCCGCCTGAAGCGCCTTGAAATCAATGACAATCAATGTCGTGTTTGCTTGCTGTTACCCGGATTCACTTTTTTAAACAAACATATTAAGGTAAATGCATAAGTTGACTACATACAAGAAACCCCGAGTGAGTAGTAAATGATAATGTGGTATATAACTTTATCATGCTGCCACCATTTCAGTCATGTTCCCTGTATCCAGTTACAGTAATGAATAATGATTTGTTTGTGTGTAAAAAGGAACCAGACTATTTTCCCTTCAAGCCTTGCTTTGGTTACGTTGATTTGAATTGGAAAATCAAGATTGCCACAACATGATAATGGTCTTAGCAACAAAAAACAACCCCAAAAAAAACAACAAAAAAGTCCGAAGGTTCATTGGTTCGAAGGTTCATTTGTCTGAAGATTCAGCAGTCCGAATTTAGAATCAGGTTAAGTAGTTCGAAGGTTCAGTAGTCCGAAACGAAAATAAGGTTCACTATAGTCCGAAGGTTCATTATTCCATAGAGCAAGGATTATTCCGAATTGAAAATAAGGTCCCGATAGTCCGAATCGACAATAAGGTCCGATAGTCCCAATCGACAACCGTGTAACCGCGATACTGAGCGGCCATTTGAGTTCACCCAGCCCCTATTATGGCACAATCAAGCTGTTTACTCACAAGGTAGCTGAATTAGTTTCTTTGTAATCCTAGAATTCACGTTGAACAGGGGTACAAATGATTTTAGTAGCTTTGAGTTTTAGAATTTGCAGATATACATGAATGCTGTGTCGTGCACCAGCCAAAACTTCTCCGCCTGAAGCGCCTTGAAATCAATGACAATCAATGTCGTGTTTGCTTGCTGTTACCCGGATTCACCTTTTTAAACAAACATATTAAAGTAAATGCATAAGTTGACTACATACAAGAAACCCCGAGTGAGTAGTAAATGATAATGTGGTATATAACTTTATCATGCTGCCACCATTTCAGTCATGTTCCCTGTATCCAGTTACAGTAATGAATAATGATTTGTTTGTGTGAAAAAAGGAACCAGACTATTTTCCCTTCAAGCCTCGCTTTGGTTACGTTGATTTGAATGGGAAAATCAAGATTGCCACAACATGATAAGGGTCTTAGCAAAAAAAAAAAAAAAAAAAGTCTTGCCCAAGAACACTAGCACGATTTTTCCCTGTCTGGGTTCGAACCCACGTACCGTCACACATGAGTCGAACACTTTAACCATCGAACCACGTCACGGTGGTCCATATTGTTGATCAGGTTTTTGTTAACCCTTTACCGCCAACAGATAATGAACCTTTTGTGGAACGCAAAACTGCCGTTGATTTCTTAAAGCGCGGGACGGCCCGGGGAAGCACCCGCCGTGGCATCGTGGACGAATGTTGCCACAGACCCTGCTCGGTCAACGAGATGATGTTGTACTGCTGCGAACAGAAGCAGCGGGAGTACTACACATTCGTCGGCTGGCTGAAACGGAGATAAGAACAGAGGAGACAGACAGAGCGACATACGACGAACTTGGCCTAAACCACAATTGATTTAATTTTTCCTCGACTATATAACGTACGAAAATGCAAGTAATTAACTGTGTTGTACACAAGGCCGTGATCATAATGGTTGCGTTGGTGAATATCGGCGCCTTTTGAAATTCTTGAATTGTATTAAGTTGCCTTATAAACTTTCCTCTCATATTACATTTGCCCTTTTGGAACTTGTTAAGTGAAAGTTGTATTATAAACATATGTTTTTTGGTCCCCAAAAGTTGCAGAATCTGATGCATGTTTCCGTAGAGTGAACTGTATCATTTCTTCTTCGGTAAAAGAAAACTTCAAAACTGAAACGAAAACTGACCTGAAGTTGCGATTGTTGAATACATTATTGAGAGGGAATTCAGTGTTAATTGAATGGTTGTGCATGTAGTCCTCGCTACAACAATTAGCACGTGCAATCAAGTTGGACATGGACAACAACTGGTTGATTCGTGACGTCATTTATGCCCCCGCACTATTACTATATAGAAATGTGCAAACGGTCTTTTGTAGGCTTTTTTTCACAAGTCGGCCATATTAAATTGAAAGCGAGGTCAAATCTTCATTTTTGCTAAGAAATGAAAGCAATGACATAATGTTTAAATTAATAACCAGTCTGCTCTAATGAATAATTTATAATTTGTGATTAAACATTCCATAAAGTTTTAATCCACGCTTAAAACAAAATTGAAAGTGAGGCTAGAATGCATAAATAGTCTGACACCATCTCATTCAACATTTCATAATTTAGAAAATACATTCAGGGAACACGACCAAAATGGCTTCCTCGCGAATAAGGTATATACATACAGAAGAACTACGGTCAACCTTCATCACAAAACCTGACGCTCGTGTCGTACATTTACGGAAGACGGAAGTGCCACTCAATAAGTCTGAATATATTTTTTTGTACTTGTGAAAATAATTTTATAATTTGAACAGCAGCCGCCACTTATTATGTGGCGGCCGCCATATAATAAGTGGCGACCGCTGTACAAAAAAATATTGTCGCATGTAATAAAAAATATATTCAGACTTACTGAGTGGCACTATCCGTCTTCCGTATACATTAAGGTATACGCGGTTAACCTTTCTTGGGGCCGCCTAACAATTACCAGAAAATTGTGCTAACTATAGAACTGTGCTGTTCGTTAAGCACTATTTCATGGCGTGTATGTGCTAATGGTTGCGCGCGTATGGCGAATTCTGTTACGTCTTTTTTCAGGTAAGTGTGCCTTTTGCTGTGCTTACTGCTTACAGTCTCCATGAAATAGAGGGAGGCTCTGTAAGCAGAAAATCGTGTGCTTAGCAGCGCTATGAAATTGGTCCCTGCTGGTATCGAATAGTCGACAATCGTTGTCGACAAAAATACGTTCGACGAAGGTTTATAGTCGGACTATGTTTAACCAGAATTTTCAGCAATGAGGCAAAGACAGCGTGCCAAATTCATCCGCCCTATATAAAGGGCGATGGTGACCTCTATATTTTTTTTTTTTTTGGGGGGGGGGGAGCTGTTGGACGGATTTGTTTTATCCGGTATTCCGAAAAAGTGGTCCACCCACAATGCTTTGAGGGACTGCGTCTCCATCACAAGATCTTGAGAATGGGCAATGGGAGCAAACGCACCAGATTGCTTAGCGCCCTCTCTTGGGCAGTATATTGGTAAAAACCCTTTTCAACGCAAGTGATGTTTACGGAAATCTTGCATTTCACGCAATATTGTATTCATTTGCATGGTCCAACGCACACGTTAATTTGACACGTAAAGCCCGTATGTCACCACTCAGCGTCCTCCGCACTAATGTCATTGACCTCTCGAGTTCATCAGCTTCACAAATTCATTACCTCATGCCTTTATTTATAGCAACTCCTTATTTCCAATAATTGTAAGCGATAGAAAAGAAATTGATTTAATATTGTTTGTTTCAAAACAATGAGTTTGTTATATGTCATTATAATCCTGCATTTTGAATTGGTTGGTTTTGTGACGTCAGAATAAAAAGCGTCAATGTGAATTAATATAAAGACAACATTATGACGCTTGATATAATTACTTTCCTAAAATCTGTTTGCTTGTTTTGTTGGTGTATGAAATCAACCATCGAAAGTTTGATTCATAGAATAACCAGGCGTTCAGTAGCCATGTTTACTGTTTACATGTATACAACCAATTACAATTTAGAAGCGATGGTTTACTTTTACATTTTAATTTGCACAAAAAAAAACAGCTTTTTCCTTGTAAAGAATTATGATCTTGATAAGTGCCGCTTTAAAGTTAACCATTGTTCGTCTTGTGTGAAGTGTACATAATAATGACTCGTTGAATTGTTAGAAATAAAGTAAACAAGGTGCAAGCTTCAACTGGTGTTTGATATCGTTCGTCTTCTTCACGTAATTGTTGTATTTGTTTAAAGATGTAATTAGATATCGCAATGTAATGATGTATATAAAATCCGTATTTATTTTAGAAGTAAGACATGACAATATAACCACTCAACCACACTTTGTATGTCATAGTACATACGTCTCTTATTGATTATCAACTGATACAGAATGTCCCAGTTACTGTATCACACAAATTTCATGGAGATATAATTTAATTTCACTCCAGAACGTCGTAAGGCTCCATTGTTAATTTCCGATTATGAATTGACACCAATAGATCTCATAATTGTTCCGGTGTAATTCGCGAATATAGCATTCTGAAGTGTCCCCGATTATGGAAATTTGTCTCATTTGGAGATTAGCATGGAATTAAAAAAAACAATTTCGATTTATTTATGATTTTTTTTACAGCTCCCACCGATGGAAAAAATATCAGTCATACATCGGATGGGGCGATGGGGTGGCTTATTGTTGATTCTGAGATTAGTAGATGGGGGGGGGGGGGGGGGGCTAACTATGGAGCAGTGACCAGACTAATTTTCAGGCGCGGATCCAGGATGGGGGTTTTGGGGGTAAACCCCCCCCCCCAGCGCTGTAAAAAAAAAAAATCATACAAATTCCTTAAAAATAAGTCGGAAACCCCCCCCCCCTTATAATGTCCGCCAGTTAAAAATACGGTACACCATTCTGTAATCTAGTGTTAATAATCGCCGAATTTGAACAGCGCCCCCTATTGAAATATGGTACGCCCCCTATTGAAATATTTTCCTACCCCGCCCCCACTGACACGCCTGCGAATGCCCATTTTGTTAAATGTGTATTAAATTAATAGCAAATATGACTTCACACCTCCTTTTTTGGGGTCCCTTTTTGGGGTCCCCTTGCCCCCTCCTCCTCCGTTATTGATACATTATTGTGTCGGCATCACTGAGATCCAGTATTGACAGCTATTTTTTCACAATCGAGCCTCAAAAAGGAGTGACAAGAAAAACAAAGAAAATCCTAGAAGTGTATAGGCACTCATACCTAGGCTATAGAAATGAGCATGCACTGTCTAAATTCAAATTACCAAAGCACTAAAATGAGTGACTGAAAAAGGCCGAATTTGCTTTTTCAATACAACGCAGATCGCTACATGAGACGATTTTACCAAAATTAGGACGAATAAGAATGCTACAAATTGAAACTATATTGTACCTAAAATGAGATTTATGCATTGGTGGCTATTTGAAATTGAAATTGAGAATTTAGTTCGACTATGTTCCTAAATGAAAGTAAAGGATTATTCTAGGCAATTTGTGCGATATTTGTAAACCTATAAAAGGGAACATTGAAAGAAGGTAACGTTTAAACGTACAGCAAGATTCTTGGATTTACGTCTGTCATCATTATAAATAGCGCCCTCATTGTTCACAAACAGGAACTATTGGTGGATGACACCGGGGTCGAGTTCGGGCGGTCTGTTCTTGACACGGGTATATTGTTCGTGCAAAACCCTGACGGATAGGTGGTGTGTGATCCCGTTCCGAGTGCAGTGTTCGTGGGTCGTGTTTTCCCGCCGTTAGAGTGCGTAACCGTGTCAAGAACAGACCGCCCGAACTCGGCCTATTAGTGTCCGCCCTCTTGCGACGCCTGTGTGTCCTGTTCTGGCACCCGACTCACTAGTCGGGGTGCAAATATCATTAACCGCAGACAAAAAACCCCGACATGGCCTGAAACTCCGAACTATTAAATAACTCTTACATACCCACGAGGCTTTGTAAAAGTGACAGTTTTACAACAAACACCGAAAATTCCCTACTCTTTCGGGATTGAATGCATCATCTCCAACAATTACCGAACATTGGGATATCGAACATGTTTTTTTTCTTCCAAACTAATTTTGAATTGACCATAATGTTTGATTGTGTCGGAGTAACTACTAAGTTCTTCAATTACCCAGATCCATTTCATTCAGAGTCAAGTTTTTTTGTGGTTAACCGATGACTTTGGGGAGACCATCCATCCAAAGATGATCAACCCTAAAAGTAGTCCTGAAGCCATTGCCATTTTGAAAATGGACACCTACGCTCCTTTGGAAAATGGCGCCAAATAATTCGCTCGTAACCCCCGCCCTGCAAACAGGACGCTGGGATACTCTGATGAATTCACGCTCTGATTGGTTGGATTTTGCGTGACCAGTGACCTGCGCGTCATCAAGTTCATGACTCTGCAAGGTTTGAAATAGCCGTTAAGACTGATTCATTACTCTTTAATTCCAGTTTAGAGATGTTTTTTCGTTGAAAAGCGTATATAGGAAATTCTGTAAAACTTATCTGTGTTGTAAATTTACAATCCCCGTCAGTCGCTCAGGCTCCGTTTGGAATCACGAACGGTCGGATTGCATTATGCGATGCTCAAAATTTTGTACACATGGTCCGCAATGAAACAGAAATCACATCCGGTATGGAATGTGCGCAATTCTATGGGAAGTTTTCGGATAGCATTTGCGCACATTGTCTAACTGCGGTCTTGAACAGCTGCAGCCAGATGTTTTATACATAGGTCATAGGCCACTTCCTTCACAAGATTCTGTGAAGCTTATCAGAGTATCCCAGCGTCCTAATTGCAGGGCGGGGGGAGGTACGAGCGAAGCCATTTAAGTGCCTAATTTCATCAAAATTAGAAATACGAGCTCGCAGTCCTCTGCTTCCACCTTTTTTGTGTGTTTCAGATTTTTACAAATTTTCCAGTTCACGGCCGGCATGCGAATTTTTTTCTCCCAAACGACATCCACATACATGGTTGTTTAGTGCCCTCTACTATTCTATTACGTACGCAGGTATGTAATTATTTGTTTCCCCGAGCATTGGGTGAGTAGTGCGACAGCTCAGTCGATGGAGGGTCGGGTAGGATTTTGCAACGCGAGGTTGCGGGTTCGAATTTCAGTTTTGCACCCAAATGTTTTTACTTTTCTAACCTGAGGCTTTGGAGGATTTTTTTTAAAGAGAAATAAAGTCCGAATTTTATAACGTTCAAGTTCATTTTTTTATTCTCATTTTATATTTTCTTCTCATGTTTTTATAAAAGTTAAGTCCAAACGCCATAGAGTACACCCATATGCGGATGTCGTTTGGGAGAAAAAAATTCGCGGCCGGCATAGGCAATTTTTGGCCTATTTACTGGCCTGCATTCCTTAGACGCCCCAACCCTTTTACCCCCCCCCCCCAACAGCGCCATCCTGTGGTTGATGAAATATACTGGTAGTATACTGAAACTTATAAAACCCGAAAGGATATTTTTTG